AATAACAATAATAATATTAATAATAATGATAAAAATGTCATACAGTTTGTATCCTTCTTTTTTATTTTATGAAAGGAAATGTAGACGTAAGAAGACTTTCTCTTTGTAAGTTGGCATGTCCGATTTACAACGGTACCCTTTTAACCTTTAACGGATCAGGGATGACGAAGTTTCCCTTATTGTATCTGCAGAAACACTTGTAGTAATTGCTGAACACTTTGTGTGCTAGGTGTCACGTGTCCGGGAGTCACAAAAAAAGATTTTTTTATTTGAATTTTAAAAAAAACCGGATCGAACATAAAAACTATGGGATTTTCAGGAAATGCCATTTGCATGGAGCTAACACTGCTGCACTTTCCTTGCCCGGGAGGGTTTTATTCACCATTTTTAGCCAGAAAAATACGAATTTTTCCGTCGATGACGAAAAAAGGTTTAATGGGTAACATTGTGGCTCGGACATGTCATGCTATATATGAAGGGTCACTAAAAATTACTCCTACAGTCACTTTATTTAATACTAAATGATAGTAAATATTTAATACATGTCTATTTTTAGTTATTGGTCAATCTTTTTTCCAGTTTATAGGGAAAAATTTTTTTAATGACATAATAAAAATAAAAAATATAAAACTGGGATGAAAAATGTTTCCTCTATGTTCTGTCAGTTAGATATCATCTAAAAATCTCGCATTATTTTCCTTATCTATTTTTTCCATCAATTATCTATCTATCATTTATTGTTTACGGTCCAAATGCTTGAAATTTTGTAGAATCATGGTAAATGTCAAATTTTGTACTCTGCACAAAATTATTTGATAAATGTTTATCTATTATTTTACAAAGTTGGATATAAATGGTAGATACGGTCATAATTTCAAGTGACCAGCCATGTAAAGATGGGCATGACCAATTCACAATTTACTTTGACCCGATCACTCATGTGGAAGATATCGTCGTTTTAGCAATTGTGTAATTCTGACAATTTACGCCATTGTTTCTGTAGCTCAAATGTGCTAGTCAAACTAAGGATTGCAGCACGGGAAGCCGTAGTACATTTGAATTTCCGAGCCGGGTCAGCCTTTCCGGTCCCAGTTTGAACTATACCTGGCTCTAAGGACAGGACTAGCTGGTGCAACAAGGTTGACTTTATGCTTCAAATAGGTTGAATTCACTTTTACTAAAGGGGCAGAGGTGTGTGACAGATAAGCCACAATTGAAAATAACCCGTTCTTCATAATTAGATACATAGATATCTCATTAGTTTTTGATGATACAAAGTTTTTAATGGTTAACTTGTGAATCAGACATGCCACTCTGTAAGTGGAGGGTCACTAAAAACTATGCCTTGCAATTTCTTTTAAGCTGGGGAATTTTTGGTAGCAGACCCAGTTTAGAATTAAGCTCTGAAACAACCCCTAGTTGTTGAGAACACGTTTTAAACGTCATTGTTATTTTACTTCTGTTCTAAGTATTTTTCAGATTTAGTATATTTTGCCTAAAAATAATGTTTAGAACTCAACAAACAGGAATTATGGATAGAATTTTGACAGCACTTGATATTTTTTTCTAGAATGCAATAAATGAAATAAGACATGCAATTTCTAAACGCATGCAGCAAGTCTTGCATACATAAAACATGCAGGTTTTCGTAAAGCATTTTGTTTCAATAATAAAATTTAACTTTGATGGGATATAGATGAATTTAAAACATAATAGTTCCATTACGCTTTATTTTGAAAAATTTTGTTATGAAACACTGAAATAACAATTACAAAATTCATAATTACAGTTCTTCATTAAAATAGAACTGATTGCAACTATTTTTGACCGTGTAGTTGTTTATGTTCCTATTCAATTTTAAGCGTTCAATTATGCACCAACTTTATGTTATTAGGGTGAAAACTAGAAACTATTGTGGTAATTTATGCATATTTAGATCTCAAAACTACATACTTAATCATAATGCTGTAATGGAATACTAAATGTGGTCTTAAAATCTTAAATCTGTCCTGAACCCATTGAAAGTTTCCTTGGACCCTACTAAACAGTAGTTAATCTTCTAGAAATGATTATATCTGCAAGACTGAGCAAATTCTTGGAATTTCTTTCCCTGCCTTCCCTAATTGACAGTTGAACAACTTTTCATTATATATCTACAGTTTCGGGGTTAAGTTGCTAAAAGGCTTAATAAAACATATTTCCTTCAAGTAGACAAAAGGGTATTTTCAGAATTTAACCAAAATTTTGTTGACTCATTCCTATCTTGATATATCTTATGAACTATTTATTCATTAAAGTCAGTGTGTGTTTGATTTTTTAGGAGGATTTTTCACAAAGGAATCCCAATATTACTGCAGCCGTTGCTATCAGTCCCACTATGGGACTAAATGTGCTAAATGCAATGATTATGTTGAGGGAGAGGTTGTGTCTGCCCTTGGTAACACCTTCCACCAAAAGTGTTTTACGTGTGCCCGGTGCATGAAACCATTTCCAACAGGAGAACGAGTGACATTCACTGGAAAGAACTGTTTGTGTCAGAAATGTATTCAGGCAGAGAAGGAAATTGATTCCAGGATAATACCAGAGCCAGCTAATGGATACAACAGTGTTAATAGCGATGCTTGTGCAGGATGCAACCAGGAGCTAAAGGATGGACAAGCATTGGTGGCCCTTGATAAACAGTACCATATATGGTGCTTCAAGTGCACCACTTGTAATGTTCTGCTGCATGGAGAGTATATGGGACATGAAGGAAGACCATATTGTGAGAAGGATTACCATGAAAGATATGGAGTTAAGTGCGCTTACTGCCAAAGATTTATCTCTGGCAAGGTTCTTCAGGCAGGTGACAACAATCACTTTCATCCTACTTGTGCTCGATGCAGTAAATGTGGAGACCCATTTGGGGATGGGGAGGAGATGTATCTTCAAGGGGCAGCAATCTGGCATCCTAGATGTGGACCTGGACCTGGGGAAAGCGGATTTGTCATCAATGGATTTGACACTTCAAGCATTGTTGATGGATTTGATGGCCTGTCCTCAACAATGAGTGAACTGCATTATGGATCCAGGGCCAGTAGCCCAGGAGGGTCAATGCTAAGAGATTATCGATCCCAATCTCCTGGAATTCCATTTGCGTACAGCTATATACGCCAAGGAAGATCAGTTTCCAGTCTGCGTAAACCCATTGATCCATATGATAGAAAAGCTTCCCATCCACCTATGCACTTTCATGTTCCCCAGGATAAGACAAGGAAGGTGACCATAACACCACGGTCTAGCAGTAGATCTGGTATGAGAGCCATGATAGAAACTCTCCAACATACATCTCCTAGACCTAGGTCACCACACATGAACAATGAGGAGCCTATAGAAATGTCCCATTACCCTGACGGGAAGAAGGTTGAGGAAGAACATGTGGTTCCAATCGAACGGGATGATTTTCCAGCTCCACCATTTTTGTATGCTGATGAGAAGCGTCGCAGGAGGTGGTCAGAACCAATGAAAAAAGAAGACAGCGTGGACATAGGACCCCCTCCAGATCATCAACTTGATGCAAAGCTAAAGAATCAGGAAGAGACATTAAGAAAAATATCAAAGGGTGGAAGTGGCCTTGGGAAAGTGTTTCTGGATACAGTACAACAGCGTGAGAAGATGAATGCTCAGCGAAGAGCATTTATTGATCCTCGAAGCTATGCAAGAACACCATCTGCCACCAGGGAACCCCAGTTTCGACTTCGTTATGATTCTCCAGTTAATGCTTCTCCGTCCCGTTTAACACATTCTCGCCATGAGGATGAACCAACTACATTTTTTCGGTCATCCTCAGGGCGTTCTCTTGGGACACCGGGATACACAACTCCAGGTACAGTTCACAGCACTCCTAGCTACAGGATAGTGTCATCACTAGGAGGACCACCTAAACCTGGTTACACCCGGAAATCTTCAACTCTACCAGCTTCTGGGATCAACGGAACCTTTTCTCCAGGTAATGCAGTCAACTTTTTCCTTTTAACGGCTTATTTATTTGTCTATCATTATCTATCAAATTGATATATCTTTCTTTCTTTATCTTTCTCAGATTTAATTTTTATATCTAGGATATTCGAACTTTGAAGCTGGTCTTGATCCCACCTTCAGTACGGAGTTTAGCAGTAAATCTGATATATCAGAAAAGAGTTTAGATCTTAGGAACCTTAAACATACACATTCAATCCTTAATATACCCCCCCCCCCCCCCAAATTATATAAAAAAGGGGGAGGGGGAAATATGTTTTTTGGTTTCATAATCTTCCACTTTATGTATAAACAAAATCTTGTGGTGGGATGTAAAGGTTTCTATTTTTTAACCCAGAATGCCAAACATAACCCATGGCAAGAAAAACATCCAGTTTTGTTTAAAAGAACGATTCTGCATTTTTCTTGTAGGTCGCAATATTCAAGGTGGTGTAAACTGAATTAAGAATCGATCACTTCAAACTTAATTTCTATTTCTAAAAGAATGGGTTCGCATAAAAGATTTGTATCAAAGGAACCCAGTTTTTGCTACATAACAAAATTAATATTTTAAACGACATCTGGTTTCAAAGATAAAGAGGTTAAAAAATTTGATTTTTCCTGTCTTTTTTATGAGCACTTTCTTTAATTATAATTAGTTGAGTTGATACTTGAATGAGAATGAGTATGGGGGCGTGTATAGGGATGGGCGTGTCTCTGCTACAGTAAACCGAAGGGATTTAAAATCCTCCACAACATACACACAAGGTAGATATTATATTCTGAAAGAGACTTTAGTTGTAATTTCAAGTGATCCTCTTTATAAAGAAGATCATGTCCGATTCACAATTCACAATGGTACCCTTTATGTGGATTCACAATTCACAATGGGACCCTTTATGTGGATTCACAATTCACAATGGGACCCTTTATGTGGATTCACAATTCACAATGATACCCTTTATGTGGATGATATTGCAGGTTTTCTAGCTTGAACAATGTTTAATTGTTACTCTAGCAAGAAATCCGTACTTGTAAGTAATTTTAAGTGAAGCCATAATTGGAAAATTTTTATGAAGATAAATCCTAGATATCTCATTCATTCTTGATCACACAGTGTTTTAATGGTACTTTTGTGAATCTGTCATGCCTTTCTATAATTGGAGGGTCACTTGATAATACTTCTACATTCCCTTCCAACTATTTCTGTCATTTCTTTTAACTTAGGATCCATTTTATTATGACAAAATTAATTTTGTCTTAAATAATTTGAATTGTTTATCAATTTTAAAGTATAAAGTATAAACGTTAAGAGGTGTTAAACGTTTATATAATTGCTAAACCAGTTGAGATAGAAAGATAGCTAGTGAGAAGTCATGTATATAAATCAGAGACTACACAGACTGCTCATATGACATACACCCTACCTGGATAGGCTGAGCAGGCCTATAGTGTCCCGGCATGCCATGCTACGGTTCCATGTAATGTTTTTTGACTGACATCTCACGGCCATTTGTTGCATTCAGGGGTAAAGTTTTACAACTTTTAAAGAAATACTCCAATTTTAAACATAAAACCTAACGTTTATGAATATTGTCTATTTTTAAAGATTTTGCATTTCCTATTTAAAGGATCCTTAAATATCCCTGAATACAGATGTCTCCTGATTGGTCGTGTACAGTACTTGTACACAATAAAACATGCTGTGGAAAAAATTTCATATTATAGGACAGGTGTTAATCAATCTCTGTAACTCTCTTATCTCTGATATAAATATACATTACAGATCATACAGGGTTACCCACAAAGGATGAGACTTTAGAGACGATTTTACAGAATTTATACTGTTTGTTTTCTTATATTCATGATTCCCTGCAACTGTAAACTTGTTTCTTTCTTTGCCAAATCATAAAATAAGCCATTAAAAGACCATATTCAAGGCAGAAGACTTAAGTTTACCTTAGGATTGTCCCATTGTATGATTTGTGGGTAGTGATAGATAAAATAATAAATAAGGGGGGGGGGCACTAAAAGTTATTTTCATTTAAGTGAAAATATGAGATTTTTTCATTTAGTTTATTATGTATTTGCACTTTTAAATATTCTAGTTTGCTCAAATTTAAAATAATCATTATTTTCTGTTAATAAACATTTTTCAAATTATTATTATTCTATAATTGTATATTTTTCATTAAATAAATCTTTCAAATAATTTAATAATACACACGTAATCTTTCTTTTATTGATAATTGCCATATGATTGTTTATTTTTGAAAACAGTTTGTCCGAAACAGCTTTTTTGTGGTAACTTTCATGACCCAGAAAAGGAGAAGGATAGCATTTTTTTTTGCTTGAATATCAACATTTAAAACCTAAAAAGGTTTCTAGAAAATGGGCGCGAAGCGTCCTGAAAGCTTAGTGCAATATACACATGTATTTATAATGATCAAAGTAACGGGAAATTTTTGCTGAAAAACTGAAAATTCAAGAAAATCAGGAAATTCAATATTTAGACTAAACTATTTAAGAATAAGATACCACCGAAAAAAAATGATAAAATAATTGTAAATATTATCAGGAATGGATTAGTTTGATAAATGCATAGAATATTTGAAAGCTTGTGTGAGGGGATAATTTAAAAATTATTTATTTAATGTCTGAGAAACATTGCAGAAGATATCGTCGTTTCTCCAATTGAAAAGGTGTTAAATTCTTTCCATAGTATCATAGTCTCTGGAACACATATCCACAAGTAACTTTTAAAAATAGAAATAATTTGGTTAAAAAATTACATTTTCTAAATCCTTGATTAGACAAATGTTCAAAGGTTACCGTTTGTGAATCGGACATATCGTGCTTGAAATTACGCCTACAGTCCCTTTAAGTAATTACGCCTACAGTCCCTTTAAGTAATTACGCCTACAGCCCCTTTAAGTAATTACGCCTACAGTACCTTTAAGTAATTAATCAAATTTAGTCAGCTGCTCAATACAATGTAAATATTAGCTGAGTGTACGGTTTGTTTGTTTGTTTACATAGTAGATTCTGTATGTTAACGTCACGGTAAACAAGAGGTCCTGATTAAAGCGAGGCTTGACTCTAACTCCCTTTTTTACCCATTAAATGTAGAATCTACGTACTTGCTATTTTATACTATTTTGTTGGTATTTAAAAATAGATACATTATTTAACGCTATAGTTGACGGATGTTAAATGAAAGATCTAAATATCAGTTGAAAATATTCCAATACAGAAAGATGTACTTATAGTTGCTGTTAGTTCTACGTGGTGTGCGTATCTGCATTTAGGTGTAGACATGTTTGCGCGCTTAGTGTTAAACAGTTTGTTGGTTCAATTCAGGGATACATGCGCGCATATAAAAGAGGGAGGGAGGGTTAAACCCCACCTCCTCTTAGGATTCTTGGTATTTGTCAGGGGCGTAGTGGAGGTTTAGTTTAGGAGGGTGAATTTTTTGCGCGCGTTAGCGCGGCAAAAAAAATTATGCGCCCCCCTAAAAAACGTATTAAGAAAGAAAAATTAAGTTTAAAATCTATATTAATCTACCTGACTATTAGTCATTTGACCATAATTACCAATCATACCATTATAAAATCTAGTAGAAAAAGAGCAAAAAACTTCTTTTTTTTTAAATATTTTTTTTTGAGTTTATCATAAATCATATCAATATCAATCATATTATGACTAGATTACACTGGAGACAGTATCATTTAATGTTTTTTTAACGATACCTAAATCTGTATTTTGTGGCGCTTTGTGAGAGAAAAGATGTCCCAAAACATTGTTAATAAAAATATTCTCAAATTTCCCTATATAAATATTCCCTAACCAATAAATAGGTCCGGTGGGTGATGTTTGCATCTACATTATACGTATTGATGATGAAGATTGTTCAATCCATGGGTTAAAATAAGAAAAATAAAAGAAATTTTGGTAAAAAGTTCTGGAAACATGCAGTTGTTTTGAACCTTTAAAAACGGATTAAAAATGGCATTACATTCATGTGATATGGACTTAAAATTAACAAAAAATAATTAAAAGCTTTAATAATACTGCCTCCAAATTTAAGAACTCTTGGTTTGTTTTATTTTTAATATTTCCTCATTTGAAACCTGGTCCAGAATGTCGGAGTGCATGTGCATCCTGGCCAGGTTGCACAGCCTCCCGCTCCCGTGTCTGAGAAATAGATAAATTGTTGACATAGCAGCAATTTGAGGGTCGTTATGCCAACTTTCATTATTAATTTCAACCATGTTTTAACTCTTATCAGATATTTTTTCTGGAATATAACTTTTATCAATGCATAACAAATTAGTAAATGTCTGAAATTAGATTTTTCTGAAAGTAAATGACATTCCTTTGTAAAGATCTGGTTTAACATGGATTTTTGTAAATAAGTCTGATTTTAACATGGATTTGCGTAAATAAGTTGATCTTAACATGGATTTGCGTAAATAAGTCTGATTTTAACAGGGATTTGCGTATATAAGTCAGATTTTAACATGGATTTGTGTAAATAAGTTGATTTTAACATGGATTTGCGTAAATAAGTCTGATTTTAACAGGGATTTGCGTATATAAGTCAGATTTTAACATGGATTTGTGTAAATAAGTTGATTTTAACATGGATTTGCGTAAATTGTTTCACACCAAAATAAATTTTTTTTTTCAATTTAAATGAAATTAATCAATTTAACGTCAAAATGAACTTCTAACAAGCTTCTTTAGAATTTAATCCCGTGAAATCAATCTGAGGCTGAATTTAAAGAATTTGAGCCGCGGTTTAAATCTGCCAAAATCCGGTTTAAATTAAGCGCCGGCTTAACTCTTGAAACATTTGATACAATTTTAAGTGGAACCAACCATATTTAAGCCGTGGCTTAAATTTAAACCGCCGCTCAAATTCTTTAAATTCGGCCATTGATTAAATAAAGCTTGATTACCTTTTAATTGTATATATACAGTGTATTCAACACACACCGGACTAACCAGAGTGAACAGCATTCGGTTTCTTCTATTTGAAATCAAACGTGTTTTCGTCTTTATTTCAATAATCATTTACTTTACTGATTTGTTTATTTAATACATTTTCCTTCAAAATGCATATGCCAACAATAAAGTATTTAAGAAAAAAGTCTAACAAATTATGTTTAATGGGTAATATTGTGATCGAAAGTCACATCTTTCTGGAATATTGACAGAACCGTTAAATCTACACGTGAACAAGATAACGTTAAAAAAATCGTAAATTATCATATTCAGCACTGGCATCAAAACGATTGCAAGCAAAATAAGATAATAATAATAATAATCAATTTTATCTGATTGATCTGGTATATATATATATATACCAGATATATATATTGATCTGGTATATATCTTAGAAAGGAGTTGAGTCTTTGCCACAAACTTTGATTTTTAAATACCTATATCTTTGAAACCAAATGTCGTAAACCTTTGATATTTCAAACTTATATTATTTCATCTAACAGAAGTCATAGTTTGAAATGTAACAGGTCTACGACATTGGAATCCCGAGATTTAGGAATTAGAAAATCAGAGTTGGTGGCAAAGACTCAATTCCTTTATAAAACTTTTATTCTTCTCAGTAACTTTTCAAAAATACAGTTTGAAACATTTAAGATTGCAACCTTACATGGTATTCACTTTATTTTGACGTAAGTTTAATGTACTATTTTTCTATAGTTTTTTGTGCAACCGCCCCGTAGGATTTTTTCCGTATGTTTATATTGTATATTCTATTATTAAACCTTTGAATTGAACTGATTAGTGTTTACTCAACAAAGTTTATAATTAAAGTTTGCTAACAATCTAACCTAATTTTATAATGAATAAAGAACAGATGTCAAGTTTGTTTAAAGAGGTTGAAGACGCTGCCCTCATAACCTAGTTTTAACCATTTACGACGGAGAAATCCTTGTTTTTCTAGCTGAAAGATAATTGCTAGGAAACTACATGCATGATTCCAACTTTTTTTGGTTAAAATGAAAGAGGGAACATTTTTTAGCAATATTGCTTTCGTGGTCCATGATTAATTTTAGCCTATTTTTGTATTTATTTTAAGTTAAAGTTTTATAAAATGTGGAAATACTTCTATCCTTCTATCCTTCTATCCTTTATAGCTACTTCTATCACGAAACAGCTTATTTCTGTTCATTGCCTTACCTTCCACTTTAACCATTAACTTAATCTATCTACCTATCTACCAACCAACTATCTATCTATCTATCTATCTATCTATCTATCCAGCTATCCATATTTTTATATATCTATCCATCTATATTTTTATCTATCTATTTATCTATCCAGCTATCCATCTTTTTATATATCTATCTCTTTATCTATTTATCCAGCTATCCATATTTTTATATATCTATCCATTTATATTTTTATCTATCTATCTATCTATCCAGCTATCCATCTATCTATTTATCTTACTATCTACTTATGTATCTATATATCTGTCCATACATTCATCTATCTATATATCTATATATCTTTCCATCTATTCATCTATCTGTGTGGCAAGCTATCCATTTATCTATTCATCTATCTATCTATCTATCTCTAATGATTTTTCTATCTTTCTATCTATCTATCTATCTATCTATCTATCTAACTAACACAATATTCTCAGCTACGGTTGAAACAAAACTCTTTTTGCAATTTTCGATTTATGAAACCTTCAACACTACAGGACAGGGTATTTATGAAGACACATACAAAATAAGCTACTTAAATAATAGGTATTTAAAGTTTAAAAGATAAAAGAGTAACAATACATAAACAATTAAGATTATATTTTGTCCCTGGCTAAAGCTCGGGACAAAATTAAAAGGCTTGAACCTTCTCGATAAAGAGAAAATTTCTGTCCAAAAACACTGCGAACAAAAATTACAGTTTTGTAAATAGTTATAATAAAATTGTAAAAATAAAATGAAATATAAATCCGGTTTTTTAAAATATATAGAACGGCACAACTGGTCTCGTATCTTTTCTTTTATTAACTTCTACCTGGAGTGTTTCAAGATTATATTGCCACCATAGCTATATATTATATTATATCTATCCATTTACCCATTTATCCTTTTGTCTATTTATCTATCTATCTATCTACCAATCTATATATCCGTTTATTTATCTATCTATCTGTATATCTGCATATCTATCTATCTATTTATCTATCTATCTATATCTATCTATCTATTTATTTATCTACCAATCTATATATCCGTTTATTTATCTATCTATCTATATATCTGCATATCTATCTATCTATTTATCTATCTATCTCTATCTATCTATCTATCTATCTAACTATCTATCTATCTATATCTATATATCCGTTTATTTATCTATCTATCTATATATCTGCATATCTATCTATCTATCAATCAATCTATCCATCTATGTATTTATATATCTAATTTCATACAACTCGAATTCAATCCATCTATCTATCTATCCAGTTATCTATATGTCTGTCTGTCTATCTATCTATTAATCTATCCATCTACATATCTATCAACCAATCTAAATGTCTGTTTATTTATCTATCTATCCACTTACCTAAGAATATGATTATTAAGGGTTGAGAAATATGTCAACTTCTGAGCAGAGCGGACGATCCTACTCCTCTCATATTAATAGGTAAATAAAGATTGGCACTTAGACGGACGATAGATAGACGATAGATAGATAGACGATAGTGATGTTAAAAAGACGATAGATAGGTAGACATGTAGCCTGTAGGGAGACGCCTGATATACAGGCAAGTAGATGCAAGAGGCTAGTGAGAGACAAACACATTGACAGACAAAGCGACATTTATAGACATACTTTTATTTCGACATTTTTTGAACCAGCTTTTAATACATTGTGACAGTTTAGGCTACAGACATAAACAGATATTGTGACAGACATAAACAGATATTATGACAGATATTGTGACAGACATAAACAGATATTGTGACAGACATAAACAGATATTATGACATGTAAAAACAGATATTGAAACAGACACACAAATGTTGTGACAAACATAAACAGATATTGTGACAGATATAAACAGATATTGTGACAGACATAAACAGATATTGTGACAGACATGGACAGATATTGTGACAGACATAAACAGATATTGTGACAGACATAAACAGATATTGTGACAGACATAAACAGATATTGTGGCAGATATAAACAGATATTGTGGCAGACATAAACAGACAAACGAAAATCAAGTCTAAAAAATCTCAAATCGACCTAAATTAGTTGAGAAAATATTTTTATACACTTTTTTTAGGTCACTGCCGAATATGGCTACAGGGTTAAGCAAAGCTCCTAAAATCTATCCAATCCATCTACTCCTAACCTCCAACTACCGTCTACCCCACGATGTAGACAGATGTAACCTGGAGCGCCATCTGGCGGATTCCGATTTCGAACTCGTGTTCGAGTGTGGCCGCCCCGAGTTCTACAGTTATCCACAATGGCGGCGAAACGAGCTTAAAAAGCGCGTCAAATTATTCTAAATCGAATTCAAAATCTCAGAAAATCTGTTAAAACATGAATATCTTAAAAACTAAATTTACAGTCATGTACAGAATTGTCATGTACAAGTTATACACTACATTACAGTACACAGTAAACTCCACTGTACAATACTGTACAGTACAATGATATGAATCTAGTTTATAAATAAACCAGTGACGTCACCAAAGAAGTTCAATCATGAATTAAAAAGGTTGTACGTAGTTAAGAATATCCACAAGGGATAAAATAGTTTAATTTCACCTAGACTGTTCGAAATGACCACCAACGTTCGGACATAGTGTACATAGTGTACAATATCATTGAATGTAAACAATAAACATTAGAAAATGATAACGAATTGAAACCGAATCAGGGTTAGTTTTTAGACTCATGATTGTAACTTGATTCAGGATGAACTCACCCGTTAAAGGACATTTGAGATTTAATCCCATCACGTTGTACTCTATCTATATATAAACTATATATATAGATAGTTTTACATCGTACTTATATGTTTTCGGTCCCTTAGTTTTTGTTAAACTGGACTAGAGTGATAATTATATTGAACTTTTGGGACTTCACTTAGCAGCTTGATGAAAAATGAAATTGTCGGTAGCTTGAGAAATAATAATCAGTGATATTTCCTCGGATGAAGTATTTGAGCTTTAAAATTGTCAGAATAGCTGAAGAATGCAGAGAATGCATGCTGTGGTGATTTGACACATTCTGCATTCTGAAAAGTATCTGTGCATGCTTGCATAGATTAATTGATAAAGGTAAAAGAATAAGCAGAATGCTGCATGCTGCACGGTAGCTATGAAATATACAAGATGGGGAAGGAGCATGCTGCATTCTGCACCATAGCTATGAAATATTCAAGATGGGGAAGGAGCATGCTCCAGCCTGCATGCTGCACCATAGCTATGAAATATACAAGATGGGGAAGGAGCACGCTGCATGCTGCACCTGGTTGTCTGGAATACTGCTTGCTGCACCATAGCTATGAAATATACGAGATGGGGAAGGAGCATGCTGCATGCTGCACCTGGTTGTCTGGAATACTGCTTGCTGCACCATAGCTATGAAATATACAAGATGGGGAAGAAGCATGCTGCATGCTACACCTGGTTGTCTGGAATGTCTGAACTAGAACTATAAAACATGAAGAGGTAATATTAACAATTTAACAATCACACTTCAGACTAAAAGATTAAAATTTTACATGTTTTCGATGATAACTCCTATTGAAGACCTAATGAGATGAACAAAATAGTTTTAAATTTCTAATATTTAACCGGATGAATTTTCTGTCCATACACACCTACATACAACTACTCTTCTACTTATTCTGATTCTAGAAATAACGTAATATTGCCTTTTTAACCTTGTGTTATCTACACACTCTTTTTGGGTTTAATTGAAACAATACATATGTAAATAAGAACAGAGATAGATAGATAGAGTGATAGGTAGATAGAAAGAGTAATAGATAGGTGGATAGAGTGATATAGGAATAAAGGGATAGATAGATAGATCATTTCCAGTTTTGTTTTACGAGTTACCCTGTATATATAAACAGGCCTGGTGGAGATAAGAGTTAATTTAATTGATATTTAAAGTAAACATTTAGGAATTACTGTCCGGGGGAATTTACTCATTTTTTCGGAGGGTGGATCACTCATAATTTTTGTTTTTACTTCCTCCAGGGGACAGCCCCTGTAACCCCCCCCCCCTTTAAGATCTCAGTAAGATATAAATCGTGTTCAACTAAATTCATATATTTATAGTTTACACGATATTAGACTTTTATAGTTTTTATGAATTATATATTTTCATAAAATCAGGGGTTTAGTTTAAATCAGGGGGCGGAAACGTCATGCATGTGTGTCTGTACCAAAAGAGTTTGTGTAAGGTTTACCGAACCGAAGGTGTGTACTGAAGGTTTATACAGTACATAAGAATCTCGGTATTTATACATTTAAGTCAACTATATGCGAAATTTCCATGCAAAGAATATAATTTGATTAAAGTTTACAATAAACTTCTCGTTATTCAAGCTTATTTATAATTGACAACATTGTTCTGCAATTTCCTTGACTGTAGTCATGTTGTGTGTCTGTTCCAAAAGAGTGTATGTAAGGTTTACCGAACTTGTCTGCAAAGCAGTGCGACTGGCTTTCTCATGCCAGACCAGTGCCATTTCCCTTCCCTTAATCCTATTCCCTGGTTTGTATTGTATATTTATATAGTTTGATATGGTAGGGTGCCGCAGAAAAAATTCTTAGATGTATCATGTGCAACCAAATGTGCAACACCTATTTGTACGAATCAAAATTTTTAAGATAAAGTTATTATTGATGTAATAAAAAGATATCTTGCCTTTTTGAAAAATTCTCTAAAAATTTAAATCAATTAAGAAAACCTAAGAAGAAAATATTTGAATAGGATAAAGTAATTTTAGAAAAGTAAATTTGTAAATTTGTAAATTTGTATGCCATTTAGTATTTAAAAGATATGGTATATGTATTTAGTATTTAGTATTTAAAAGATATGGTATATGTAAGACTTTTTAATTTTAACAATATCACATTCCTCCGAAATTCATGCTGGAATAAAAAAATGTTAATTTCCAAATTTTTTCCTGAAGAATTTGTTTATTATTTTAGTTTCTCGAAAAATCGTTCACCACCTCCCACCTGTTGAAAATTATATTTTTTCCTCGGATGAAATGTGTTTTTTTTTGTAGCGTTGAAATCCCTTAATTGGAGAAAATTATTTTTAGGGGAAAATACATATTTCTTTTTTCTTACCTTAATTTTTTACCCCTTCAAATTATACACCCCTGAATTATTTTTGTTTAAACAATTTAAAAAGTGATTTTTAGTTTTGATAAGATTTGATTAATGGCCTTTTATATTTGAGTTTAAAAAGAAATATCTTAAAATGCATTAGCGAATGATTCATAAGAATGTTAAACATTTTTTTTATGAATTTAGAGTAAAGAATAGTGAGCTTGTGAGGAGTGAGGACTTTAATCATTTTAATAAAAATAAGACAAAAGATTATATCAATAGTAGTATAAAAAGTAAGTTTTCAAATTGTAATTTTGCCCAACATTTTTGAATCTTTTTTGTTACTAATTTGGAATTGGTCAGGAACACATTTCATAATATTCAAACATTTTTTTGTATTACTTGACAATTAACAATTTGATTTTTCAGGAGTTCTTGTCTAAGGGCAAACCGGATACCCTGTAAATTGCTGTAGAAATCCCCCAAGAAAGGTTTGTTTGTAAACAACTGCAAGATACAGTACAGTTTGCGACCGATGACGTAAACAATTTTTATTCATCACAATCTTCATAATAATACCAGATAGAAATGGCGAAAACAATATCTTCTTAAAAATTCAATTCATATACCATTAAAATAGCTCTAAAAGTATGCCAGATTAGCTATTTTTTCATAAAAATAGCTTCTTGTTAGAAAACTACAAAATAGCTAAAAAATATTATTTTTCACAATATTATAGCCATATATTTATCCAGCAACATAGAAATCTCCAATTTACATAAATAATGATTTACAGTGTACAGTGTACACATTTGTTTATTTACATTGTACACATTTGTTTATTTGCAGTTTATCACAGTGACGGGTTTTGTTTTTCATTGCCGAACCTTTTTTATGTACAGTTGTACACCACATATATTTATAATTTTATGTACACTACATATATTTATAATTTTCTGCATTTGAGTAAAATTTAATTGTATTTTATGTAAATCGGGCATTTTACATTTTATTTTTTATATCTTACATTTAAAGCTTAAAGTTAGATTTTTTACGTTTCCAGGAAATACCCCTCCCCTAAACACTGTCCATTAGCGCCTGATCTAATCAGTGTTCAGACATGTGTTTAATGTCTATTCTGAACCAATAGAAATAGTATGGTGGTAACATCTATCTTTCTATCTATCTCATTATCCAATCAGCTTAGAGCTATGAAGTAAAGGCAAATATTTACTTCTACTGAAATTATAACGACAGTTCTTATTTTTTTCATTTGTTTATCTATCTATCTATGCACATATATTCGTCTATCTCTATTCTATCCATTTATTTATACTTACATCTATCTATCTATCTATCTATTTAATCTACATTTAAACTTATGTTATTCTTGATTAAAGCCTTAATTCATCTCTGCGTATCCTATATTAGGCAAATACATGATTGTCTATTTATCTATCTATCTAAATATCTATCTATCTATCTATTTATCTATCTATCTAAATATTTATATATATATATATATCTACCTATCTAAATATCCATCCATGTATCTATCTATCTATCTATCTATCTATCTATCTATCTATCTATCTATCAATCTATCTCTTTTTCTATCTATCTATCTATCTATCTATCTTCCAGCTATAAACTTCATGAACTACTAGGGTTCTAGGGGTCTAACATAAAGCCAGCTGCGGGATAATTTAGTCGAGAGGGGGGGGAGTCCAAATATGAGGAGGAAGGGGGGGAGGTTGGTATGCAGCATCCCCCCTTCACACTCTATGCTAATCACTACATGTTGAGAAGATGGAGTAGGAGTAAGGGGGAGGGCAGAGGGAGGAGAACTGAGGTTGAATTGTCCAATTTATATCAAGTGAATTTTATCTTCTCTAATCTTTAAATATAATTCATTCTCGGCAAAAAGTTTTTCTTGCGTCAATTTTTTGCAACCTTCCGCCCACACATTCTTGCTAATTGTGTTACTTTGTTTGCAAAAAATTGAGATTTCATGATTTGGCAGAAAATTCAAGAAAATAGTTTTATCTTTATTTTTTCTGAAGGTTCTGATTTAGAAGAATGTTACTGAGAGACACGATAATGATTTGAAATTAGAATTTTTTATGATTTTTTTATCACGAATATCCATCTTCGGATATCATCACGATTTCATGAGTCATTTGTTTATTTCAATTTTAAATTGATATGCAGGTTTACCCACAAAGGATGAGACTTCAGAGACGACTGTACGAAATTTATACTATCTGTTTTGCAAAATTACTAAATAAACCATTAAAATACTATTAAAGACTTAATTCAACTTTGAGATCGTCTTTACAGTCTCAATCTTTGTGGGTAACGCTGTATAGTTTATTTTTGTGAAGGGTTTAGATATTTTTGTAGATCTTTAGTTGTGGGTTATAATATCATACAATTAAAGCGGGAACTTAAATTTTAATTTAATCTTTATAATTTCCTAACTAACTATCTTTCCATTCAAATACATACTCCTTAAATTTGTAAATTTGTATGCCATTTAGTATTTATCCTTACCGCCATCTGGAAGCGTTGAACATTTTGTTTTGTATTTCATATTCATGTTTATTTACATTTTTCATGTGTACTGCACAGCCTGCTAGTTTGTTTTTAACCTGTATTAAGTACATGAGTGATATTTTATGTACAATTCTGTACTTCTCATACTGTACATCGCTGGTACAAGAACTTTCACGAATTTTAGATGTAGAAACATCACTTTTTTCGGGCAACTAAATAAAATTTTATGTATAATTATGTAAATGTACAATTGTGTCTGTACGGTACGCATGTACATGTGCTATCTTTAAAATCTGTATAGTTTATGTTTTATCTTGTACATAAGTAAATTTACAAATATAGGATTTAAAAATAAAATTATTTTTAGTCGAAAAAAGAGAGAGAAACGAAAAAACCATTTTTACTCGATATCAAATCTTAAATTTGCCTATTTAGTGAGAAAATTTTAAGGAACTTTTTTCCAAATAAATGAGTTCTAAGTTAGGGTTTCCAGCGAACGAAATGTTTCGCGAAAAAAAGGGAATATTTTCGGTCGCATTTCGCGAAAATTTGAACAATTCGCGAAATGCGAAAATTTTGTGATAACCATTAGTTTTACAACTGCAACAATTAATTCCTCAAAAGAACTTGTGGAATTCTCTGCTCTGATATAGCTCAGTATTTGAAGTTTTATTATGTCTTATAAATAATTTCTCTTCCTTTACTTTAATTTGAATGTTTGAATTTTGCAATCGTTTCAAAAAATCCGTATTTTTCGCGAAATTTTCGTTTTATTTTTTGCATGATTTCCATTTTTTCGCGAAACGATTTTTCCTTTTCGCTGGAAACCCTAGTTCCAAGGCGTCATTAAAAAGACTGTATGCTGTATTTCAAGTAACCTTCCAGTTTAAGAAGGAAATCTCCGACTCACAACGGTTCTCTAGATTCACAACGGTACCCCTGAACATTTGACTGATCAACAATGAGAGAGAACTCATTGTAAATATCTCTTTGTCTTAAATACTATGTAAAAGTCGTAAAATTTGAGTGTACGCTAGCGTACTGTGTGAGCTCAACACTGAACGTTTAACCTTAAAAGATCTTGAATAGTCAAAGCCCGAAACGGTTTTCAAAATTCTAATGTTAATATTTATATGCTAACATTCTTGAAATAAATATTCCTTAAATATAAAACAGCTTGGAAACAAAATGTTTAAAAATTACGAGCGATTTGGTTTGTAGCAAGTAAGGGAAATTCTGCCATCCTTTGTTAGTCAAAGGTTCAAAGGGTACTGTTCGCTAGTTTCTTATTTTGACAATTAAAAAAGTTAATTATTTAAAGAAAGTATCCGAGGAATCCGAGGCCCCATTAGCATTCACAGAGTTTTTATAGGTCTTCAATAAGGGATCCATTTATTGTCCGTAACCTAG